CCCATCCTTCGGGCATCTTTCTTTCGCCAAGGTCATCGATTGAAAACTTGATCTCGTAACCGTCCTCGATGCGAACGTCGGGCTCAGATTTCATGAGCCAGAACATGGGCGCATCAGGTGGGTCGCGAGCCGGCCGTTCGGGGTTGACATCAGGGACGTCATCATAGGCATCGCGCAGCGCCCTGAGCTCGTCAACGAATTTTCGCGGCGGTGCCGTCTTCTTGGATGCAGCTCCGGATTTCTGCAGACGAGGTCAATTACAGCTTCATCTGGCCAACAGCAAACAGCAGCTGGTGTTCCGTTGACTGCAGAGAGGAAGACCGACCTTGACGGGCTTGGCAGGCGGGGCAGCTTTGGGCTCTGGAGAAGTGCTTCCTGGTCCAGCCTTGGGCTCTGGTTCAGCCTTGGGCTCTGGTTCCGCTTTGACCTTTGGTGCTGGCTTTGGCTTTGTGGTTTTTGTGCTGGGCTTCGAAGCTGCTGCGTGACGCTTGGCAGGCGGCGAGTCCTCATCAGACGTGTCGCTCTGCCGCTTCCGGGTCTTTGGCGGTGGTGCGGCCGGGACGGGCTTTGCTGTGTTCTGCCCGGCAGCAGCCTGACTTCGAGTGAGCCTCGCCATGGTTGATCGTAGCTGATGTAGCTGGAGTCTTGATGAGACGAAGCTCTGAGGGATGGGGATGCTTGGCAAGCGCGTCCAGACGAACTGAAGTCGCGTCATAGGAGCACAGGTGGCCGCAGCTGGCAGCATCCTCGGGCGCAATCGGCTCCGGACTTCAGCTGTCAACGGCGCTTCAGCTGTCAACGGCGCCAGCTGTCAGCAGTGGCCAGCACGCCAAGGCCGAACCCCGCGGTTCCCGACATCGGCTTGCCTCGGAACGGCGGGGTCAAAGCTGGTGATGCTTCGACTACCTGCCCGCCCTCTCCCTCTGACTCCCTCTCTATCATCTGCCCGCCCTCTCCCTCTGACTCCCTCTCTACCATCTGCTCTGCCTACCACCTCTACCTACTTCATTCAGCACGTTGATCATCCTGCGACTGGCAAACGCGTCCTCGCATATCCTCGAAACCCCCACCTTCAGCAACATGTCTCCAACGGCGTCCGAAACCATGGCGACTGAACTCGAACACCCGCCATCCTCCTACGCCCACCTCCTGCCCCCGAGCTGGACGACCCAAGTGACAGCCTGGCTCGCCGAAGACACGCCCTCCTTCGACTACGGCGGCTTCGTCGTCGGCGAGGCGCCCCGCACCGCGACCCTCTGGGCCAAGTCCCCCGGCGTCCTCGCCGGCGTCCCCTTCGCCACGGAGACGTTCCGCCAGTGCGGCTGCACAATCACCTGGCACGTCCCCGAGGGCACGCTCCTCGCCCCCCAGCCAGGCGTCCCGCTCGCCGTCGCCTCGGTCGCCGGCCCCGCGCGCGGCGTCCTCCTCGCCGAGCGAGTCGCCCTCAACACGCTGGCGCGCGCCGCCGGCATTGCCACGTCGGCACGGAACACGGTCGCCGCCGTCCGCGCCGCCGGCTACACGGGCATCCTCGCCGGCACGCGCAAGACGACGCCCGGCTTCCGCCTCGTCGAAAAGTATGCCATGCTCGTCGGCGGCGCCGACGCCCACCGCGTCGACCTCAGCGTCATGGTTGTGTTCAAGGACAACCACGTCTGGAGCCGCGGCAGCATCACCGACGCCGTGCGCGCCGCCCAGAGCGTCGCCGGCTTTGCGCTCAAGATTGAGGTCGAGGTTCAGAGCGAGGCTGAGGCCGACGAGGCCATCGAGGCCGGCGCCGACGTTGTCATGCTCGACAACTTCACCGGCGACGGCGTCAGGGTGGCGTCGAGGCGTCTGAAGGAGAAGTGGGCTGGCAAGAAGCACTTTTTGCTCGAGGTCTCGGGCGGGCTGACCATTGCCAATGCCGCCCAGTATGTCTGTCCGGGTATGTTTTCTCTTGCCTTTGCCCCTCTTGCCTGCGCCCCTCATCATCCCGCGCACCCTGCGTTGTAGTCTCTCTCTGCATGCCTGCTGATCAATACAGACGTCGACATCATCTCGACAAGTTCCATTCACCAGGGCGTGGGTTATGTAGACTTTTCCCTCAAGATCGATCACTAGAAATGGTCGACGTCCAAGAACCAAACCATCACCAACCACGTGCCACCATGCACCATGCTGAACATGACCGACGCCTACGTCTTTCCTTCCTGCACACTGTCGGGAGACGGGATCCTCGGGAGACGGGATCCAATTCGCTACGGGCGTGTTCTTGACTTGCATTGCATCGCAAGCATAACTCTAGCTCTCGTCCCGTTCACATGGGCACCCGCAGCCCTGGCACCAATATCCGGTCCACCCCCCCCTGCAAATAAACCACAGCCTCGCCTTGCACCCTCTGATCCTCGACTGCCGGCCTAGAATGCAGATTCCTGACTATTCGCCGTCACTGCTGCAACAGCCAACAGTGACGGACGTCTGGTTTCTCGTCGTCGGCACGTCAAGCGCTGGGTTGGATGTGAAGAAGTCGGCCGGTCGAAGGTTCAGGTGGTGAATCTCGACAGGCCTGCGTCTCTCGTTAGCCTGCCTCCTCTCCCGCAGTCCATCAGGCTTCACTTACATGACAGGCCAGTCCTCGACGCGAGGATTGTGCGTCAGCCCGAAAACAGCCCACAGAACCGGCGAACTGAGTCTGCCCTTGACATGACCATCGCTAGCGGCATCTCCATTGGCCTCATGCCTCTCTGCATCGCCCGAGAACCAGTCGCCTCGCTTGACCATGTCGTACACACCGCCCGTCTCCTCGAGGCTCTGATTCGTAAACTCGCCCGCCGCCCACAGCTCGCCCTCTCGGTACCCGGTCACCCACGCGTGGTGCTGCGCGAACCTGGCCCGGCGCGCCTGCCGGCTCTCCCCGTCGGCGAGCAGGAGCTGCGTCGCCGGGGCTGTCAGCTTGTACCCGACGTTGCGGCCGGACACGTCATTCTTCTTCGTGGCGTTCTCCAGGCGGATGACGCGGTTCAGCTTCGGTTCGGCGTCGACCCAGCACGCCCTCTCCACCGTTTTCTTCCGAACCTCGTAGTAGTTGCCAAACGGGTTCGTCGCCGGGTCCTGCCTCACAGGCACGCTCTCCTCGACGACGACGCGCGACTGGCCGTCGGCGTACGAGTCGATGGCCGGGTCGATGCGGACGGCGAACATGTGCTGGTGGTTCTGGGCCAGGACGCCGGGCGCCACGACGTTGCCGTAGCGGGACGTCTTGCCGGCGTCAATGCCCACGACGCTCATGATGCCCGTGGCGCGCGTCTCGATCGTGACGCCGCCGGCCGTGTCGAGCTTGTAGGCGAAGACGTACACGTAGTTGCCCATGGTTCACGGCACACTGGACGACGAGCTCGCGGTGGCGGGCCGCGACGGCGCGCTTCGTGCGGTAGTTGGTGTGCTTCCACCCGATGCCGTTGTCCTGCTCGTGCAGGCAGACGGTCGCCTTGACCAGCTTCGGGTCGCCCGAGGGCTCGACGAGGAAGTTGTCAAAGTAGTGAATCGCACCCAGGCAGTCGCAGCCCAGCTCGAGGCTGTTCGCCGAGAGCCCGAAGCCGCCGTCGCCGAGGTCGAACGCCTGCTTGCGGTGGAACGGCGGACGGGGGTCGGCGTACGGCACCGTCAGCTCGCTGTAGCTGAGGCGGTAGAGGATGGGCCGGTTGTCGTAGCAGAGGTCGTGGAGGACTGCGCCTTCTCTGGGGGTGAAGCCGAGGCGGAACCGCCACTTTTGCCACTCCACGAGGTTGTCTGTATGCACCGTGAAAGAAGCCCCCTCTGGTTGCGTGATGTTGATGGGCTTCATGTCTGTCCGCAGCGGGCGGTCGAGAAGCTCCTCGATGTATTCGGCAGGCTTGACGTTCTCGAAGAGTGGCTTCGGGGCAGCCTGTCGAGGATGGGCGCCGATGCCGTCTTCTTCGCCCCCCGTCGCCAGGCGATCGATGCGGATGACCTTGCCTGTAGCGAGGTCTACGACGGGCGTGATGGGAATGTGATTGCCGTAGTAGTTCGAATCGGCATTCTTGCTGGACGTGTCACGGGCAAAGACGAGTCCTTGCATGACCCGGGGAACGTCCTCTCCGGGGTCAGGTCCCCCGTACGGCCACGGATCGATGGCGATGACAAAGTGCTCGGGTATTGCGAACTCCGCCATGGCATCTTTGAACATTTGCGAGTTGACGCACGCATCTTGGAAGATGCCGAACTCCATGCTAGTCCCCGTCAGTTGCTGCAATTTCCCCGTGGCAGGCAGATGGTCTTACAGGCTTATGCTGGCTTGGCGCTTGGGACCGGCAACGCGTCGCTCGACTTGCTTCCCGAGCCCCAGGTCGATGATGGACTGAGTATACTGTACCGACTTGGAGGCCGCGTGGATGACATCGTACTGAAGAAGAGCCAGGCGCGGCGGGCGTGGGGTGTCGTCGGTCAGGCGGCCCTCATGCTCAGCCTGGAGGAATGGGACAAGCTTTGACTTGACAGGCTCTTGAAGGCAGCCGGAACGGAAGAAGAGGGTGTGTCCGGCTTCTTGCAGCTTGACAATGTCGCGAGCCTGCTCCAGCTCGGCCTTGGTGAGAGGCGACAGCGGGTGGACCGCCATGGCGAAGACGCGGTATGCTGGCTGATGAAAGTGCTGCTTGAAACAGCTAGATGAATAAAATGGCTACATTTGGCTTGATATATATAATCATGAGTGCATAGAGCTCTAACCTCGAGGATCGTGTTGTCGAGAAGTTGATTAGCCGAGGTTGACGGCTGTGTTCTGAGTTTGACTTAAAGGTGTCATATCTCAGGTAAAATGTATAACAAGTGAGTTATATAGGCTGTTGAGCTGTTGACTGGACTGGGTAGGCTACTATCTGGAATTAAGTTTTAATCTCTCTGTAACTACTGATTTAAACTTCTCAATATTGACGACTTACACTTTTACTCCTACACTACGGAATCATAATCGTACAATGGTCTCTACCCATTATATAAAAATAGAGAATGTCTCTACCAGCGAATACATACGCCTACAGCTTTACATTTGCTAGAGTACTAAACTATGGATTTACTAGGTACTAGGAGTATATATTAGAATACAGCTAAGCGGGTTTACGTAGTCACCTACCTTGCGAGCGCTCGCAATCAGATATCAGTTATTGTCTATTTGCATATTTTGGTTTTACTCCCTCAAGTCTCTAGTAATCTATTATATTTCAAAGGTACTCAAACCTTGTGTTTGATTATCACCGAGCCCTCGGCAATTGCATCGCATTCCCTCGGGTCAGCCTCCTGACAGTACATGGAAATAACCGGAGAGCGTACATAGCTGCGTAGACTGACGATTACGGGCGACACAATTCAGCCCAATACGATGAGTATACCTAGATTTCGCATGCATTCAAGCAACTGCGGCTCTTGTGCCGCTAGTGCCAGAACGGGCCTTGGTGACCAGGCAGGCGTCACGACGGAACACACAACAAAAGCTGTATGTCTGTTCTGTAGGTGTAAGATACCTTAGCTGAATGGGTCTATCTGGGAAGGTAGGCGACGCAGGCTTATGCAGATAACGTAGGCGCGTGCCAGGCCACAGGCCACCCACAGGGCAGGTCATTCCATTCCATTCGTATCGTGCTCGAACCCTTCAGCTTCGCCATCGACGGCCCCTTGGCGACTGCATTGCGTTCTTTCAGACCGGCTCCCTTACAGTAGTGAATCTTGGGTTTTGGTGTTACGGGTCAGATCCGCTGACGGTATATGGGCCTGGGGCCTAGACCTGTACAAAGGCAACCCAATTGACTTCACGACGTTGATTCAATGAATGTCCTCTTAGCTTGGTTGAATAGCTGCCGCAATACACCGACGTCCGTGTGAGATTTGCCGCGAAGCTTTTCTAGGGCCGGCTGTAGCGATTGGTCTTGGTTAGGCGGCTCTTGTCAGCGGATTCTGTCGGTACCTGTCTACCTTGCCTTGAGAAAGCATCGGAGGGTATGTAGCCCATAGCCAACTAGAGCTGCCATGACCATCGCCAACAGCCAGCGCCACGCATTTCACCAGGTGCCTAAGTCGATGTGCTGGGAAGGGACATCACATCAAGAAAAGAGCCGCAAGAGGCAAACACTTCGTGCTGGCTTTGTGAAGGAATCATTCGGCGGTCGATGACCTGTTGTCCAGATAGCCGCAAAGTGGCGAAACAACGTCGCACTGCCGCTTTGATCTAGCTACTGTAGCATTTCCAATTACTCCTGGGAACGACGTCACTTTGATCTAGCTACTGTAGCATTTCCAATTACTCCTGGGAACGACGTCACTTTGATCTAGCTCCTGTAGCATTTTCAATTACTACTGTGAACGACGTCGTGCTTGAACTTAGACGTTATCATTCAAGCCGACAGCCAGTACATCTCAGGCTTTGAGAGCATGAACGAATTTCAAAGGCTAAGTGGCCTTGTCGCTGACTCGAGAGAGTGTCAGAGACATGAACAACGCATCCAACACTCATCCCCACATGAGCAGATTTGACAAGGTGTCGACAGGAAAGCCGAGGCCGTCGCGGGTGGGATCACGAAGCGGTCACAGCGGCCACAGCTGTGACAGCTGAGGAGATACCGGTGTTCCCTCGCCGGCGCGTCCCAGACAATCGAAAAGAGCGACAGACTTCAGACGGGTGTCTCATGTCGACTCGGTTCCAAACGGACACGTGTGTGCTCTGCTCAGCTGGAGACTGGGTGGCCGCATAACCGTCCGATGTGAGGTTGGGGTCAGATTGATGAAGGGAGCATCAAGGCGGATCGGCGGGTTGTTTGATGGGCTTCAAGCGCCATGACAGATGCTAGGGTTCATCTGGGCTGATGCTCCTACTTGGTTGGCCTTGACTAGCCATCCCGTTAGTGCCAAATTTAAACCTCAGTACATCAACTGAACACCGCCTGCCTGAATAGCTCTAATGTGAATCTTGACAGGTACTCATCTAGTGCATAGTTATCGCGGGTAGGTCTGTCGAAAAAACAAGTAACGTACAGGCATGCAGTTGCACTGTTCGTCATATCCTTTAATTCAATTGGCGACATCTATTTTCTGCCACTTGGCTGTCGATCATC